ACAGGAATGTGATCTCCTTGGGCGACAAAGCCAGTACCTGCTCCTGCTCTGTACTGAATAGTTCTTCGGCGTCCATCAGTGCCTTGGAAACTGAATCTTCCCTTAACATTGAGGTTTGGATCAGAGCTTTCTTCTCGGTCACTAGAGTCGGTTTTGTAATTAAAGCTGTAACTTCCATCTGGTGATGAAGAGCTGCTCACTTGTGCTGGGGAAGCAGGTGCTGAAGACGGTGCTGGTGCTGAGGGGCCACTCCTTGTCTGAGGGACTACCTGTGATCCTGAGGGAACCTCTGGAGAAACAGGAATGTGATCTCCTTGGGCGACAAAGCCGGTACCTGCTCCTGCTCTATACCGAATAGTTCTGCGGCGTCCATCAGTTCCTTGGAAACTGAATCTTCCTTTAACATTTAGGTTTGGGTCAGCGCTCTCTTCTCGGTCACTAGAATCGGTTTCATAATTAAAGCTGTAACTTCCATCTGGTGATGAAGAGCTGCTCACTTGTGCTGGGGATGCAGGTGCTGAGGATGGTGCTGGTGCTGAAGATGGTGCTGGTGCTGAAGGGCCACTCCTTGTCTGAGGGACTACCTGTGATCCTGAGGGAACATCTGGAGAAACAGGAATGTGATCTCCTTGGGCGACAAAGCCGGTATCTGCTCCTGCTCTGTACCGAATAGTTCTGCGGCGTCCATCAGTTCCTTGGAAACTGAATCTTCCTTTAACATTTAGGTTTGGGTCAGCGCTCTCTTCTCGGTCACTAGAGTCAGTTTCATAATTAAAGCTGTAACTTCCATCTGGTGATGAAGAGCTGCTCACTTGTGCTGGGGATGCAGGTGCTGAGGATAGTGCTGGTGCTGAAGATGTTGCAGGGGATGAAGGTGCTGAAGATGGTATAAATGCTGGAGGGCCACTCCTTGTCTGAGGGACTACCTGTGATTCTGAGGGAACCTCTGGAGAAACAGGAATGTGATCTCCTTGAGCGACAAAGCCGGAACCTGCTCCTGCTCTGTACCTAATAGTTCTGCGGCGTCCATCAGTGCCTTGGAAACTGAATCTTCCCTTAACATTGAGGTTTGAGTCAGCACTCTCTTCTCGATCACTAGAATCGGTTTCATAATTAAAGCTGTAACTTCCATCTGGTGATGAAGAGCTGCTCACTTGTGCTGGGGATGCAGGTGCTGAGGATGGTGCTGAAGATGGTGCTGGTGCTGAAGGGCCACTCCTTGTTTGAGGGACTACCTGTGATCCTGAGGGAACCTCTGGAGAAACAGGAATGTGATCTCCTTGAGCGACAAAGCCAGTGCCTGCTCCTGCTCTGTACTGAATAGTTCTGCGGCGTCCATCAGTGCCTTGGAAACTGAATCTTCCCTTAACATTGAGGTTTGGATCAGCGCTTTCTTCTCGGTCACTAGAGTCAGTTTCGTAATTAAAGCTGTAACTTCCATCTGGTGATGAAGAGCTGCTCACTTGTGCTGGGGATGCAGGTGCTGAGGATAGTGCTGGTGCTGAAGATGGTGCTGGTGCTGAAGGGCCACTCCTTGTCTGAGGGACTACCTGTGATCCTGAGGGAACCTCTGGAGAAACAGGAATGTGATCTCCTTGGGCGACAAAGCCAGTACCTGCTCCTGCTCTGTACCGAATAGTTCTTCTGCGTCCATCAGTGCCTTGGAAACTGAATCTTCCTTTAACATTGAGGTTTGGGTCAGCACTCTCTTCTCGGTCACTAGAGTCAGTTTCATAATTAAAGCTGTAACTACCATCTGGTGATGAAGAGCTGCTCACTTGTGCTGGGGATGCAGGTGCTGAAGATGGTGCTGGTGCTGAGGGGCCACTCCTTGTCTGAGAGACTACCTGTGCTCCTGAGGGAACCTCTGGAGACACAGGAATGTGATCTCCTTGAGCGACAAAGCCGGTATCTGCTCCTGCTCTGTACCGAATAGTTCTGCGGCGTCCATCAGTTCCTTGGAAACTGAATCTTCCTTTAACATTTAGGTTTGGGTCAGCGCTCTCTTCTCGGTCACTAGAGTCAGTTTCATAATTAAAGCTGTAACTTCCATCTGATGATGAAGAGCTGCTCACTTGTGCAGGAGAGGAAAATGGTGATGAAACTGAAGATGTTGCAGGGGATGAAGGTGCTGAAGATGGTGCAAGTGCTGAAAGGCTACTCCTTGTCTGAGGGACTACCTGTGATTCTGAGGGAACCTCTGGAGAAACAGGAATGTGATCCCCTTGAGCGACAAAGCCGGAACCTGCTCCTGCTCTGTACCTAATAGTTCTGCGGCGTCCATCAGTGCCTTGGAAACTGAATCTTCCCTTAACATTGAGGTTTGAGTCAGCACTCTCTTCTCGATCACTAGAATCAGTTTCATAATTAAAGCTGTAACTTCCATCTGGTGATGAAGAGCTGCTCACTTGTGCTGGGGATGCAGGTGCTGAGGATAGTGCTGGTGCTGAAGATGGTGCTGGTGCTGAAGATGGTGCTGGTGCTGAAGATGGTGCTGGTGCTGAAGGGCCACTCCTTGTCTGAGGGACTACCTGTGATCCTGAGGGAACCTCTGGAGAAACAGGAATGTGATCTCCTTGGGCGACAAAGCCGGTATCTGCTCCTGCTCTGTACCGAATAGTTCTGCGGCGTCCATCAGTGCCTTGAAAACTGAATCTTCCCTTAACATTGAGGTTTGGGTCAGCACTCTCTTCTCGGTCACTAGAATCGGTTTCATAATTAAAGCTGTAACTTCCATCTGGTGATGAAGAGCTGCTTACTTGTGCAGGAGAGGAAAATGGTGCTGAAGCTGAAGATGTTGCAGGGGATGCAGGTGCTGAAGGGCCACTCCTTGTCTGAGGGACTACCTGTGATCCTGAGGGAACCTCTGGAGAAACAGGAATGTGATCTCCTTGGGCGACAAAGCCGGTATCTGCTCCTGCTCTGTATCGAATAGTTCTGCGGCGTCCATCAGTGCCTTGAAAACTGAATCTTCCCTTAACATTGAGGTTTGGGTCAGCACTCTCTTCTCGGTCACTAGAATCAGTTTCATAATTAAAGCTGTAACTTCCATCTGGTGATGAAGAGCTGCTTACTTGTGCAGGAGAGGAAAATGGTGCTGAAGCTGAAGATGTTGCAGGGGATGCAGGTGCTGAAGGGCCACTCCTTGTCTGAGGGACTACCTGTGATCCTGAGGGAACCTCTGGAGAAACAGGAATGTGATCTCCTTGGGCGACAAAGCCGGTATCTGCTCCTGCTCTGTACCGAATAGTTCTGCGGCGTCCATCAGTGCCTTGAAAACTGAATCTTCCCTTAACATTGAGGTTTGGGTCAGCACTCTCTTCTCGGTCACTAGAATCAGTTTCATAATTAAAGCTGTAACTTCCATCTGGTGATGAAGAGCTGCTCACTTGTGCTGGGGATGCAAGTGCTGAAGACGGTGCTGAAGAGGGTACTGGTGCTGAAGGGCCACTCCTTGTCTGAGGGACTAACTGTGACCCTGACGGAACCTCTGGGGAAACAGGAATATGATCTCCTTGGGCGACAAAGCCGGTACCTGCTCCTGCTCTGTACCGAATAGTTCTGCGGCGTCCATCAGTTCCTTGGAAACTGAATCTTCCTTTAACATTGAGGTTTGAGTCAGCGCTTTCTTCTCGATCACTGGAGTCAGTTTCATAGTTGAAGGTGTAACCTCCATCAGATGATACAAAACCAACTCCCAGATTTTCTAATGCAGCTTTTGTATGAACTGAAGGAAGGTGATCACCAGAAGGCTGGAACCCTCTTTGATCAGCAGTGTATTCCAGCTTGTAGTCCGTTCCTGAAGCATCTCTAAAACCAAATTCTCCTAAAACATTTCCTGGTTGGCTCGCCTCCGCCCTTTCATAAGTGCCATCTTGTCTTTGGTGTCCATACTTGTAGGATCCTCCACTCTCAAGAATGTAGTAATGATCAGGATCGAATCTTCCCACATTATCAGAGGAAGTGGCGATGTTGGCCAACAAGGAGCTGAACAGTACCTGCAATATTAGATTGTATGAAAGTAAGACAAAATTGTGTTTATCTATCTGTAGATCTGTCTATCTGTCAATTTATATATTTATCTATATTCATATATCTATATCTCTACACATTTACATATAGAGTCCCATGTATAGTATTATTGTGTGAGGTAAAGTCTAAAACAAACTGTTGAAAATAACATTCATATATGTGCTTGTGCAAGATGAAAGGAATATGTATAGAAAAAAGGGACTTTGTACATAGCCAGGCAAGTTATATTTCATGGCCATAGAAAATTATTTATACTATGTAAATAACATACA